TTCTCGTCAAGTCCGATCTTCCTGCGTTCTCGCCAAGAACGGACTTGACGAGAACGCGAGTACGTACTTGAATTCCCAGTAAAACCTAATGGGGAGTCCTTGTCCCGTTAAAAGTGACTCTTACCCAGATAGAGCGAGGCGTTCTCCTTCTTGACGTTGTCATCCAGGTATGTGGGTCCCAGTGTGTAGATGGGCGTGGAGCCCATTCCCACCAGGATCTGTGCGATGACAAACAACGCCACATACAGCCGATGTTCGTTGCCATCCTGGTCCCTGGGACAGGAAGTGATGTCGACTCGATCCCTGCCGCTGGCGTTGCTGTTCAGACACAGGCCTTCGTTAGCCGAGGATGAGTTGAGTTCCTGGATTTGGTATGCCGGGGAGATGAAGTGAGGTAAGGAGAAGAGAGCGGCGCCCACAGCGATGAAGATCCCACCAACCGCCAGCCAACGAGGCCTCTGACCCCTTCCACCAAAGTAGCTGATGAAGACCACCACCAGGAGGCTTCCGATGTCAAAGCAGCTAACCAGGAGGCCTGATTCTGAGCTTCTCAGGCTGTACCTCTTCTCTATGGTGGTGATGACGCTGCTGAGGTAGCCGGACACCATGAGAGACTGGATGAAGGTCAGGTAACACATGCAGAACAGGAAGCAGCGAGAGTCCTGCAGGATGAGGCTCAGGTACTTCCTGCTCGGCAGGCGGATCTGAGCGAGTCTGGACGTGAAAAAGTTCGGGGGGTTCCTACTGGCCAAGGTTTTACTCCTACGGATCTCCGTGTTTTCCATGTAGGAGCTCGGCCTGTTCAGAGATGACTTCCCAGGCTTTGTCAGGTAGCCGGATCTCACTGGGGACTCAGACTGGAAAGATTCTGTCTTTTTGGGCAGCCGGATGAACTCTGAGCTCTCTTCAGCTGTTATGGACATACATGTGGAGCTGTCCAGTAAAGTTTTCTCCTGGGGAGCTGCTTCATTTAAGACCGGCAAACTTTTGGATTTGAAATTGGTACCCGGCTCTTCTGGTTCACTGGAGAATCCATCCTCCTTCCTAAGAGACTCCGACAACTCTGCCTCCTCATGCTCAGCCATTATTTCTAACAAAGCCTAAAAACCTCACAGTGCAAGATCACAGTCAGAGTTCAGTCACTGATGCCATGATGGTTATCACCAGTCTGGACAATCAATAAGAACTGGAGGCCCACATTAGGACAACAATACAGAAAGAAATGATGCAGCTTCTGCTTATCTGCAGTGCAGACACCTCAGTCTGGGCTGGCTTTGTTTATCTGCTCATGCACACTTGCCTTCTGACACAATCTAATCCTAAGGTGGAGAACATTCAGGCTTCCCTCACCGGGGCTCCCAGCAGATCCCCCTTTGCTGCTGCTCCACGGCCGGCTGAGATGAAGTCCCTCTGCGGGGCCCGGCCAGCATCCCCCGGCGGTCCAGCTCCGTCACAATGTCCCCTCCATCAGTGCTGGGCGCGATGGGGGCCCCCGCTGTCCTCTCCAGCTCCTCCCCTAGTCAAGGGCAACCCTCGGTCCGCAGCAGCTGTCCTCCCACAGGCTGTCATGTGCAGAGATCCTCCCCTCAGGATGAAGGATTAAAATAATGGGGGAAAATCCGCAGTTAGAGGAGGAGGAGAGGATTTATCAGAGGAAACAGGAGCAGCACTGCAGCAATCCGCAGTGTTTTTCAGCTGCTCTGTTTTGATAAACAGCTGCAAAGTAAAAGCTTTAACATCCGGAACAGAACAAGCCGCGCTTCAAAATAAGAGACAGGCGCAGAAACAGAACATTTTGTTTTTGTTTATTTTTTGTCCTTGTTATGGTTCCCCCCACTTAAAACATATACTGCAAAAATTGAAATATCAGTAAGTGCATTTTTATTAATTAAGTGCAATTTTCCCTTAATTTAAGCGGATAATTTGCCAACATAATAAATTGATTTATGTTAAAAAATATATAATTCTTCACTGCATCATATCTAATTATGTTAATATATGAGCAGCATTATTATTACCCTTTGTTGAACCTCTTATTTACCTGCATGAATTAAGGGCAAATGCACTTTTTAAAAATATTTTTTTACTTATTTCAATCTTTGCAGATTACATTCAACAATTTTCCATTACACTTCATGTTAACAGTTATTTAATTACATTTAGCTTTAAGCTCCAGCCCTGTTAATAAAAGGTTTTTCATCTTTAGTTCAGGGGCATCAACATTGGTTTTGTGTCTCACCTAATATAATAAATGATGCACCTGTCCTGTACCCTATTTTTTTTGTTTGTTTGTGTGTGTGTGTGTTTGCTGTTCTTTTTCCTGTGCCCCATTAAAAACACTCGCCCAACACTGTTAAATTGGATAAGGACAACCACTGTTTAAGAAAACCAACATTTTCTTTTTATGTTGGCTCGTTTTAACCTAAATAGCCCCTATCCCTACTCCAACCTGCTATGATGTTTTTGTTAAAGTTGATTTTTATGAAACACATAATAGAAATCTCATATGTAATCATATGTATATGTAATCCAATCTTTATATATTTTTTTTCTTTTTTGTTTACAGTAACAAATGAGCCTTGGTTAAATCCAACTGTATTGGGAATGAACCAGCGCCATCTGCTGTTATCTTTAATATCTGCACCATGTAGCAGTGGTGGCTACAGAGGCCCTATTTAATGCAATGGACCAGGGGAGGTAACGCGTCTGTGCATGTGAGTGTGTGGAGAAAATCTGATATTTGGGCCATGTTAGAGCACAGGAGAGTTAATTGAATCCTAATTGTCCATCTCACAGCATGTGGATATTTATTCCCTCCCAACACCCACACATAAAGACCAGTGTTGGGCACGTTACTTTGAAAAAGTAATTAGTTATAGTTACTAGTTACTTCTCCCAAAAAGTAACTGAGTTAGTAACTGAGTTACTCCACAATAAAAGTAACTAATTACTAGTAAAAGTAACTATTGCGTTACTTTTGCGTTTCTCGCCCCCGTAGCCCTAACCACCCAGCCCCCACCTTCTCGCGGTGTGTTTCAAAAGCCAGCTGCATAGAGCGAACGACAAAGACAAGAACCTGCAGAGAGTTTTGCATTTATTGCAACTCAATGTAAATGACATTGAGGGGGGAACGCCATCTGACGGGCGTATAAACCCCGTCAAATAGCGTTCCCCCTGTTTTACATGGGGGGAACGGTATCTGATGGGGTGTCAATATCATCAGGCTGCATTACCTCTACTTATGGGTGTGAAGTTTTTTAATATGACGTTCAGATCTGGTGAGTGTATGAAATTAACTTGGGATGTCTGATTCTTAAATCCTGTGTGTTTGGGTTGTTATAGATACTGCAACATCTATCTATCTATCTATCTATCTATCTATCTATCTATCTATCTATCTATCTATCTATCTATCTATCTATCTATCTATCTATCTATCTATC